CACAGGCAGCGCCTCCTTCAGATTTGTCCCTTTCTGGGTAGCCAAGCCGCTCAAACACTTTCCCTCAGTTGCGTCCGCTCTTTCCTAGCTCTGGAGCCTGGCCAGCTTCCTGTTGTCATGAAGCTGCACGCCCAAGGGAAACCACAAGTGGCCATGCTCCCTGCATGGTGGGTCCTCAGGGTGGGCTCCTCGTCACCCCTCGGCCTCTTGGATGTCACCTATCCTGCAGCTCACGGTCTTGGCAGTCTGTATCTTATCCTGCCTTGCTGTCTCTCAAGCAAGCAAGCAGATTCACGGAGGTGTTACTAAAGCTTGTACCCCTCCTGCTCTGTGGGCGTACGTAGGTATTGTTCTCCGGGAAGCGGCCACAGTTCCTCGTTCTTCTGAAGAGGAGAGGAGAGGCAGACTTGAGGAACATTAGCGGGGGGCGTGTCCCCCAATGCCCCCTGTTGTGTGGCGAGCTTTCTGCAGCCACTGTCCACTCTAGATACCAGTGTTCGCAAAGACATTACGCCCCGGCACAGAGCCGGAGCTACTGTCCCCCTGCCAGTGTGCCTCCCTGTGAAGATATCCAGAGGTGGTTGGATCTTCCTACAATTCCAATTACTTCTGGATCTCCCCTGAGGGGACTCTATGACCCAGGGGTGGAGCACTTGCCTGGCTGCTGGTCCCAGCCCATTGGCCCCAGCCCACCAGCGACTCCTTGGGAGAAAGTCTTGGAGGTCTCTTTCTATCAAGGTCTTGGAAACCCACAGGGGCAGTTCTATTCTGTTCTCTCAGGCTGCTGTGAGTCCGAATCAGAGCAACTCTGATTAATAGGAACTCTGGATAATAAACTTTTTTTTTAAGCTATTCAACAGGACTTGGTGCCAGTTTCCTGGGTGGGGAAAACCAACTGTTTATTAACCCAAAAGTCAGCAGTTTGAACCCACCCAGCAGGGCTGAGAGAGAGAGAGGCCTGACTGTCTGCTCCCATGAAGCCCACAGCCAAGAAAACTCCGGGCAGTGTTTTTTCTCGGTGGGCCACAGGGGTCCCCCGAGCCGACTGGTGTGTCTTCTGTGGAGTGCTTGATGGCCACGCCTGTGTCCTGGACGTCATGAACTCGCTAAGAGCTGGATGTCAACATAGCGTACTTCTTTGCTTCATGATCTCCCTGGAAACAACCCCGACCCCCCCAAAAGCTGGTTGCACGGAGTTTCCAAAAACCCGTGTGGTGCTGTTGTGAGGCGTGGTTAGGAGTTGGTGTCGACTCACAGGGGCCCGATGGACACCAGAAGGAAACACCGCCTCCGGCCCCGCCTGCCGTCCTCACAGCCCTTGCTCTGTTTGAGCCCATCCTTGCAGGCACTGTGTCCATCCATCTGCGTGGCGGTCTGCTTCTCTTTCACCGGCCCTCCACTTCACCAGTCATGGTACCCCTCTCCAGGGACTGGTCCCTCCCGACAACACACCCTCACTACGTGAGAGGGAGCCTCCCTCCTCCCTTCTAAGGAGAGCTCTGACCAGGCTTCCTCAAGACAGATAAGAATGCTCAAACTAGAAAGAGCAAACTCAGCTGTCATTGGCTCCGTTCTCACGCATAGTGACCCTACAGGACCGAGTGGAACTGCCCCAGGGTTCCAGAGACTGTAACTTTTATGAGAATAGAAAACATCATCTTTCCCCTATGGAAGGGCTGGCAGTTGCAAACCTTTGACCTTGAGATTAGCAGCCCAATGCTTGACCTACTCTGCCCCCAGGGCTTCTTGATTTGTGTGTTAGCTGGCATCAAATGTTGTTTGTTATGTTTATCAGAGATCAATACAGCTCCCTAGCTTGAGTTCCATCTCACTGAGAGACAGGTATTTTCAATCCTACCCGGGAACACAGGCTATTTGTTCTAGGAAGAACGGGCTCCAACTTCCCTTCCCATGGCTTTATGCCCCTGCCCTCCCGTGTCCTTCTAGCAGCCAAGGTCATGGGCACCTGCTTTCTCCTCAGCAGTAATGAGGGTTCCACTACCTGTGGTCACACCACGCACAGAACCTAGGGACTCAGGGCCACTCCCCCCACCCCCACCCCCACTTGATTCTTGGACTCATGGATCCTACCTATGGAGAAACAGCACCGAATGTGGAATGCTGGCGTAGAGCATACACAGCTTCCAGGAGAACATTGCCTCAACCCTGCAAGGTATTGCCACCTAGCTGGTGCAATCATTACATCTTTAGAAGGTCATTCTATGGCTTTATCTAGCCAGCTGTTTCAGGATGGGAAACACTGTCAGGCCAGCGAGTTCTCTGAGCATTGCCACACTTCTTTTGCTGTGAAATGAGGCTCTTAACCTGAGGAAATGCTGTGTGGGATGCCACGTTAGTGGAGAAGGCATTGTGTGAGTCCGTGGATGGTAGTTTTTCCAGAATCATTGGATGCAGGGAAGGAAAAGCTGTATGCCTGTCTACCTCAGTAGGATCAAAATGCTTCCCTTTCCATGACAGAAGGCTTCCTAAGGCATCAGTAAGCCACTATGCAACTGGCTAATTGTCCCAAGGAACGGGTCCATACAGGGGACTCTGTTGGCCTCTGCTGTTGGTAGGGTGGGCACTCAGCATTGGCAGTAGCGAAATTGACCTTGGTGAGTGGAAGTCCATACTCCTGGACCCATGCACAACTCCCACCCTGGCCATCATGGTCACTTTGTGCACGAGCCCATTGGGCAGTGACAGGAGTGACTTGGGAAAGAGGATGACTGGTTTCCATAGAAGGTGTCATCTGATTTGCTTGATAGTTGGTAAAGCCCTTCTCTGCCAAGATTAGCCTTTGGGGAGCATTCACAGGAGATACAAATATCTTCAGGTTTGTGGTCCATTCAGAGAGATTTAGCCACATGTCTCTTTCCCATAATTGTTGCCTATTATCCAATCATAGTCCTGTGTTCCGGACGAGCCAGCCAGGACATTGACCTCAGCCCATGAAACAGAATCAAGATAGAATACATTTCTTGTTCTAAACAGCATGAACAACCAAGAACATGCTCAGTGAAAAACTTCTGCATCACCACTTAGCTTCAGGAATGTTCTAAAACAGAGCACTGGCCTCTCCCGAGTGATATGCCTGCAGGAATGTTCTCTTCCTCGGTCAGTTGATCATAAGCAATGCCCCACGAGGACTTAGGTGTAGAATGGGAAAGACAGGTGACAGAAGTGGAGACCATGGGCATTTGGGCCACTTGCTCATGCAATTTACTTGTGTCTTCAGGTCCTCCTCAAACCTGATCTCATACGCACCACTTCCAGTTGATGATGGTGTGCTGCTGTGCACTCCCAGCTGTATGGCTGATTCAGACATCACAAGCGCATTACGGGACGTTCAGGTCACTTGGTGATGACTTGGTGGCTAATGGTTAAGTGATCAGTCTTTATTAAGGCCCAGTGACAGCCAAAAACTATTTTTCAATAGGAGAGTATAAGAGAGAAAGAGAGCGATATTAGGAGAAGGGAGAGGGGACAGAAAGAGTTTCTGATTTATATTAAACAAATGCCTCATGCAATTGTGGAGGTTGCCACACCCCAGATCTGTGGGTCAGGCATCGGGCTGGAACCTTCTCCTGACTCATGTGGTTCATGACTGGGACTGCTGGCTCACATCTTGAGACCCAGAGGTCAAGTGAAGGTGAGTCTGCTGAAGGACAGAGAGAGTTCTTGCTCTGCCCACATCTCCACATACTGAGCATTGGCTGCAGACCACACCCCCTCAGGAAGCTGCCTGACCTCAGACCACAGATAAGGATACTAGTTAACACTTACCAGAAACCATCACCCATCTCCTATGTCTTCCTAGGAGGCCAGTGTGGGCTTCCCCCAGCTTGGCAGAAGCAGCAACCCCACCTGGGAGCAGGTGGTGGGTGGGATGATGGTGGGAGCCCTGAAGATGCCCCATGGCTACTGAGGGCGCTGCGGGCATGGTGTGCTATTTCTGGGTCCTGGCCCTGGTATCCTCGGCTGTGGCCTTAGAAGGTGAGAGGGAGGGGTGGGGGTGGGCAGAGAGGAGTAGAGATAGCCAAATATGGGGAGGGGGAGGGGGACCAGGCTTGCCTTAGGTATTTCAGGGAAGTCCCAGCAAGTGGAGATCCCATGGCCTGATGAATGGAGGTTCAGAGAGGGTCAGTCTTTGCACTGTTGAAGGTCACATGGGGTGGCCCTGCAGCCTGGCCACTATGGGTCTGTTTATCTCTGGGCAGAGGTGCTGCTGGACACCACTGGGGAGACCTCCGAGATTGGCTGGCTCACCTACCCACCGGGTGGGGTGAGTGTTGCCCCTTGGCTACTCCCCATTCGCCCCCGAATCAGAGATGATGGGGTGAGACCCTCCCTCCAGACGAACAGGACATGTGGCCTAGCTGACTTGTCATCAGCCTCCTGCCCCTTCCCGCCCCCCGCCCCACCCCATCCCACCCCCGCCCGCCTTGCCAACCAGCCCTTCACCTACCCACCGGCAAACAAGTTCTCAACAAGTTCTCCCAGCCCCCACAAGATACGTGCTTCTTCCTGCCTCCTGCAGTGGGACGAGGTGAGTGTCCTGGACGACCAGCGGCGCCTGACCCGCACCTTCGAGGCCTGCCACGTGGCGCGGTCCGCCGGCTCCGTGCAGGACAACTGGCTGCAGACCCACTACGTGCAGCGGCGTGGTGCGCACCGGGCTCACATCCGCCTGCACTTCTCTGTGCGCGCCTGTGCCAGCCTGGCGGTGGGTGGCGGCGCCTGCCGGGAGACCTTCACCCTCTACTACCGCCAGGCTGACGGCCCCGACAGCCCCGACACCGCCGCATCCTGGCACCGCCAACACTGGACCAAAGTGGACACGATCGCAGCTGATGAGAGCTTCCCTGCGGCCGCCGCCTCCCAGACTGGGGCCGAGGGGCCACGCGCGGGTGTGCATCTCAACGTCAAGGAACGGAGCTTCGGGCCGCTCACGCGCCCTGGCTTCTACGTGGCCTTTCAGGACACCGGAGCTTGCCTGGCCTTGGTGGCCATCCGGCTCTTCTCCTATGCCTGCCCTGCCACCCTCCGCTCGCTTGCCTCCTTTCCTGAGACTCAGGCCAGTGGGGCGGGGGGCGCCTCCTTGGTGGCGGTGGAGGGCATATGTGTGGCTCATGCAGAACCTGAAGAGGATGGAGTAGGGGGCCAGACAGCGGGCAGCCCCCCCAGGCTGCATTGCAATGGAGAGGGCAAGTGGATGGTGGCTGTGGGTGGCTGCCGCTGCCAGCAAGGGCACCAGCCAGCCAGTGGGGACAAGGCCTGCCAAGGTGAGACCTAGCACCCTGTTTCTTCAAGCTCAGAGCTCCTGCCTGAACACCCCAAGTGCCAATGGTCCTCTAAGAGGTCAGGCGCAAGCTGTGTAGGAAAGGCCCATGTTCCTGGGGTTTGCTTGTTCTCCCAGATTTATTTCTTGAGCTCACCAGCTTACTCTCATCCACTCTGAAATGTCTGGAGCCTTGAGGGTCCCAGGGCTGCAGGCCCAGAGAAGGGAGGGCAGTCGAAAGGAATAAATTGGGAGGAAGTGTCTTGGCATGGCAAGTATGGGAAGGTGTGGGGGTGGGTGGGGCCCAGTGGGGGTGCAGGATACACCCAGGCAAAGCTGTGAAGACAAGCCAGGACACCTGGCAGCCTGGGGCCTCCGCCTGCATGTAGCTGCCTCACTTTTTCCATGTGTGGAAATGCAATTCCTTGGCGGTGAAGTGCATGCGTGTGTGTGTGCCCCAGGAAACTAGGATGAGGCCGAGAGTTGGGGGAGAGGGGACAGGCTCTAGGGCAGTCTGGGAAGTTCATGCAAGGTAGTGGGGTTTGGGGTTGAAGGCGTGCCTCGTTGCCCCCTCCAGCTTGCCCCCCTGGATCCTATAAGGCCTCAGCTGGAACTGGACCCTGCTCTCGGTGCCCCGCCCACAGCCACGCGCTGGATCCCGCCGCCCCGGTGTGTCCCTGCCTTCCTGGCTTCTACAGAGCTAGCGCAGACTCCCCAGGTGCTCCCTGCACCGGTGAGCCCACCGCACCCCAGGGACCCAGGGGCGGGACGGAGCCCAGGAGTGGGGCCAGGAGGAACAGGGACTGGGTGTTTGAGGTGGGTGTGGTGTCTCCGGGGGTCTATATCTCCCCCACTCCGGTCTCACCCCTCTATTGCTACCTGCTATATGGCCTTACCCCGCTGCCCCACTGCCCGCTTTCCCCTCTCCCTCCAACAGCCACCCAACCCGCGCCTCTCCCTGGCCCCAGGTCCCCCTTCAGCACCCCGAGAGCTCTGGTTCGAGGTGCAGGGCGCGGCGCTGATGTTGCACTGGCGCCTGCCGCGGGAACTGGGCGGCCGCGGAGACTTGCTCTTCAACGTTGTGTGCAAGGAGTGCCCAGGCGCCCGGGAGCCTGGCGGGGGCGCCTGTCGACGCTGCAGGGACGAGGTATACTTCGACCCCCGCCAGAGGGGCCTGACCGAGAGCCGTGTGCTGGTGGGAGGCCTCCGTGCGCATGTACCCTACGTCTTGGAGGTCCAGGCGGTCAATGGCGTGTCGGAGCTCAGCCCAGATCCTCCACCTGCTGCGGCCATCAACGTCAGCACCAGCCACGAAGGTGAGAGCACGCTGCCCAACGTCCCGCCCACCACAGCCCCGCCCATCCAGGAGGCACCGCCCATCTCCTAAGGTCCCACTTCTGCTGTGGCACTGCCCTCTCCGGAGGCCCCGCCCCTCCTACACCCATCTGTGGCCCTTCCCTGCTGTCTCCTCTCATCACCCTAGGCCTCGCCCATATCCTGAGGCCCCACCTCTCAGTACCACCCTCTGCTCTAGGGGCCTCTGCATACTTCCGGAGGCCCCTCCCCTCTCCATGGGCCCGCCCTCCGCTGGAGGCACCGCCCTCTACACATCTGTGTCTCTCATGACCCCTGACCCTGGGCTGCCATAGTCCCCTCTGCAGTCCCCGTGGTGCACCAGGTCAGCCGTGCGTCCGACAGCATCACAGTGTCCTGGCCGCAGCCTGAGCAAGCCAACGGGGACATCCTGGACTACCAGCTGCGCTACTACGACCAGGTGGGTGGAGGGCAAAAGGGCAGCCTGGCCCCTCGCCCTGGGCTGCCGCTGGGCAGTGGGCTAGGCTGAGGCGGAAGGGTCTGAGTGCTGACTGACCCCCCAGGCTGAAGACGAGTCCCGCTCCTTCACCCTGACCAGTGAGACCAACACGGCCACTGTGACCCAGCTGAGCCCCGGCCACATCTATGGGTTCCAGGTGCGCGCCCGCACTATTGCGGGCCACGGCCCCTATGGTGGCAAGGCCTACTTCCAGACACTGCCTCTCGGTGAGCAGGCCTGGGGGGGCCGGGGAGGGGGGGAGCGCTGGGTGAGGCAAGGAGGGGTTTGTGCTGAGAGGGCCTGGAGTTTAGGCGAAGATTGGCTCCCTTGTAGCTCATTTGTAGATCCCTGTGACCCCCACTTTGCGACCTGCTACAACCTCCTGTGCTCCCCGGTGCCTCCCTGTGACCCCTTTGTGGCTCCCCTGTGACCCTTCTGTGGCGCAGTGGTGAATCCTGTGACCTCCATGATCCCCTGTGGCTAACCTGGGCCCTCTGTGGCTAACCTGGGCCCTGGACCCCCTGTGGCTGACCTGTGACACCCCCCTGCAACCCCCTGTGGCTGACCTGTGACCCCTGTGATGACCTGTGCTCCATGCTGCCCTCTCCTCAGGAGAACTGTCCACCCAGCTCCCCGAGAGGCTGTCTCTGGTGGTGGGCTCCATCTTGGGGGCCTTGGCCTTCCTCCTGCTGGGGGCCATCACTGTGCTGGTTCTCGTCTTCCGGAGGTGAGGCCTCCCACCTGCCATCCTGTCCCCTGCCCCTGATCCCCCAAAGACACCCCCCCACAGTCCCTTCCTATCCCCAGCCCCCCAGCCATGTTGAGATAGAAGGGACCCAGCCCCTCCTGCACAGGTAGCGGGCAGGGTGAGTGGACGTCCCTCTAGACTAGAACTCTGCTCTGTCCCCAGGAAGCGGCATGGAACAGGCTACACGGAGCGCCTGCAGCAGCCCAGTAGCCCAGGTGGGGGCATGGGGGCTGGGTGTCTCCTCTAGACTGAGGGTGCCTAGAGTCCCCAGCCCTCACACTGAGTCCCTTCCTCCCAGGGCTCGGGGTGAAGTATTACATTGACCCCTCTGCCTATGAGGACCCCTGCCAGGCTGTCCGGGAGCTTGCCCGCGAGGTGGACCCTGTGTACATCAAGGTGGAGGACGTCATTGGGGCAGGTACATCAGGCCAGCAGGCCCAGGGTGGCCAGACCCTGTGGCATGGGGGAACCCAAGCACCCCTCACTGACCCTGTTCGCTAGGCTCCTTTGGAGAGGTTCGCCGGGGCCGGCTGCAGCCCCGAGGCCGGAGGGAGCAGCCCGTGGCCATCCAGGCGCTGTGGGCCGGGGGTCCTGAGAGCCTGCAGAGGGCCTTTCTGGGCCGGGCAGCGGTGCTGGGCCAGTTCCAGCATCCCAACATCTTGCGGCTGGAGGGCGTGGTCACCCGGAGCCTGCCGCTCATGGTGCTGACGGAGCTCATGGAGCTGGGGCCCTTGGACAGCTTCC